GAAATACAATCTTTCTTTTGTTCAGAGAAGGGCAGAACCTTCTCTTTTTAGAAGCAGAGTGATCTTAGATTACTTCTGAGTCAACATACTTTGTAGATGCTATTTGCAGTAGATACTGGGTAATTTTAGAATTGTATTCATGTGGTTTTCTAGTAAAATCCAATTACAGAGGAAAACCAAACCTATTGGCTTTTGAGCTGTCAGTGCTTTTAGCAAGGAGCAGTGTGATTACTTAAGCTATTGGTTATTTGGATGAAGGTGGTCAAGTGCAGAAACCTTTCTTTTGAGAATTCTTAGTCTTCAGGAACCATTTTAAAGGCACATACATTTTCTGCAGTAAATACGAATCAATTTCTTGTACACATACCTAGCAGTTTAAAATGCAATGCCTGTCTTGTCTTTGCTATAAGATGTTAACCCATATTTTTAAAAATGAAATTTACTGCAGAGCAGGGAGCCCTTGTGCCAATTTAGTCTTGGAGCTGCTGTGCATGCATTAGCCATACATCCTTAAGCAGGGTAATCATAACAGAATGCTTACATTCAGCTAATAACTTGAATGGCACCATTTTAGTAGAATACTCACTCTTTAAATACCCATTTCAGACATTTGAAAATCAGTTGAACTTCTGAGTGCTTTTGATTTTTTGAGCTTAAAGTTTACATAAGTTTGTACTTGTTTCTGTGCTTGTCTCAGTGTTATGTTTAATTTGACTACCAGACATATTTAGAGAAACCAGTCATGTCTGTTTCAGTCTGATTTTTAAGATACGCTCTCATTTCCTCATTTCCGTACTCCGGGTGTTTCCATATGTTGCTTTTACCATAGCCTCTTACTGGAAACACAGTGCTTTATGTATTCTTAACCTACCTTTCTTTTGCCTGGCTATACCAGACTGGTGGCTCATGGGCATGCTGTTACTGGACTTAGTGGAATCAGCTCTTTTTCCATGTGTCATTTTTCAGTGATGACTCAGCAGTTTGCCAAAGTTCCTGAGCATGAACTGGCACTTTGTGTCATTACTACGAAGCAGTATTTCTGTAACTCCCGTTCCCAAGGTCATCTTATTCTCTGCTTGGGGTACCTTCACCCTCTTTCTATATTGATTGCCAATGTAGAATCTCCTTCCAGTTTTGTCACGAGCAGAAGTAATTAATGCAGCTCTGGGCTTGTGCCAAGGCTGTTAATGGAACTATCAAGTAACAATCTCAAGGCAGATTCACAGGGATCTGTACTAGTTATTTCCCCATGTACCATGAACTTACTTTTCAGAGTAACCCACCATTGCCTTTTCTTTAGGCAGATCTGTATATATGTTATAATTTAAATACTACATTAATTTTACTGGATTCTCACTTCCGTGTACCTATGTGGATGTTCACTTCTTTGTTCACCTTTCTGCATTTACAACTATGAAAACATCTTTCTGTTTTTCAATTTCCAATGCAAGATCTTCATGAGCTTCACTGGGGCAATTACCATTTCATTGAGGTACTTCTTATCTGTGAGCTGTAGCTGTCAGTTGGTGTTCTATTAATGCTTCCTCTGCTCAAAAGTTAAAGCACTGTGGTATATCCAGTTAGGTTTGAAGTTTGCCCTATGATTTTTTTTTTTTTTGGTCCTCTGCATGTAAAAACTTCCACTTATTCTCACACCATGTGCTTAAAAGTTGCAGTCTTGCCACACAAGTTCAGTTGATTTCAGGAACTAGTCCATCTAGTGTTTCACAGCTTGTCTTTTTAATTTGAGAAGCTCTTTGCATACTCCTCAGTAGAGAAATCCCTTGGAGTATCAGGATCCAAACACTAGTCACAGCTCTTGTTCTCCAGGATAACTAGGAAGCTGCCTTTTCCCATAATAACATCTTTCTGTGGTAGTTTGTCCTTCTGAAGGCATTAGAAGTCTCTAACCACATCTAAACCTGGTGTCAGGGAGCAGCAAGAGCAGGGCTACTCCCTAAAGGAAGGCAAACCAGGAGTCAGTTCTAGTAACAGAGCTGGCAGAGCCTTCAGCAATGAGGTTAAACCCTCACCTAACTGAGGTGAGCAGGGCAGACCCAGAGGTGGAGGCCAGGTTTAGCCAAGAGCCCAGATCCTCAGGCATGTTCCTGGGGAGAAGGCAGGTCTCAGGAAGTCAATCCAGGGATAAGAGTTAGGATCAGGTCCCTGGGCAGGTGCATAGTTATGAGGCCAGGCTCTCAAGCCAGAACGCTTCTCCATGGGTTGACTTTTGGATAAAGGGACCCTATGGCCAGTGCTGTGGCTGAGCAAGACCAACACCCCTGCAGCAGTATAGGTGAGGCCAGGACTGAAGTCCTGGGACTGAGCTTAACAGAGCTCCAGGATGCCCCAGATGAGGCTCATGGGGGCTCACTAGGACTTACTGATGCACTTTGGGGCTCTGACACCCAGTTTGCTGCAGGAAATACCTATTATAATTCATAAATATTATTAAAATACTGATTATTATTCAAATGCAATCTCATAACAAATAGTAGCTTAACCTATGCTGTTGTTGCCTTTTTTTTAGATCTGTATATGTTTATTCTGCATAATTAAACACCATTAGGCCGTGGGGTTTTATCATTCGATGGCATATTCAGTGTCATTAGTTCAGGCACAACTGCTCTTCCGTTGTGGTTCCCTAGTTCCTGCAACAGCAGCCTTTTCCACTGTCATGCAGTAGCTGAAATTTCTCTCTTTTTGTTGTTTTTTAAACTCTCAGGTGCTGCAGAAAGGAATGGTGTATATGGATGTTTCCTTATGCTTGTGACATCCGCATTCAAATGTCTCTACAAACCATGGTGCCTTAGCAGGGCTTGGGAATTTAGTTTGAGTCTTCTCAATCAGTCAGACTTTCTGATTATTATTTGCTTAAGACATCCTATTTAACAGTTTTAAATGTTTGTGACATCAGATTTAGCAGTCCTGTCATTTGTGTGGTACTGACTTGTAGATTAGCTGTGAAACCTAGAAATGTTTGAGGCTTGTTTTTGTAATTTTGCTCTAAGACTAGTGGTGCTGGATGCAGAACTGTCTCTTCTCCCTTAAACAATGAACTCAACTTTAAAGATTATTTTGCAGTGTTGGTTAAAAACATTCATATTTAATGTGTATGTATATATGTACACATATATATGTGTGTGCATATGTATATTATATGCTTATATACATTAATTTAAAAATGGGGGGAAATACAATTTAATAAAATATGTCCTAAATTGTATTTGTGCGTTGTCATTTTTGTCTGTTACTAAACACACACAAGAAGCATGATACTGGCTGCTACTTAAATCTGTGCTTAATTTCTTCCCTAGCACAGTATGTGTTGGCTAGCAGTGGTAGGAGCTGTGGCAACCATTGTAAAGCTGCATGCTTGCTTCCCAAGAGAAAAAGCATTTTCTTGCTGTCAGTGGTGACCACTTGACCCTTCAAAAGGTAGCAAATTGTTTATAGAAAACAATCTTCTGGGCAGCACACAGTGACATTGATGGATTCTGGAAGTAGCATTCTGCTGATGCTTGCTACCTGATTTGTGGAGTTAACTAGGGGACATCCTACCAAATACACTCGTTTGTAAAATGGCCAATTTCACGAATGGGAAACTGTTTAGATAACCTGAACAGACCTGGTTGTTCTACGTACTTCAAGATCTTCACAGAACCAGAGGTATTTAAGAAAGGGCCGGGCATAAATGCTCTACCAGTCTTTCTTCTAACTTTCCTTTCCAAGGCGTAGCAGATCATCCGTTTTAACATTAACAATATATTTTAAAATAACAGTGTTAACTTAGTTTTGTTTAGCTGCAATCTCCCTCAGGAAAGAACATTCAGAATTTCTTGCAAAGTCTGTGGCAAGGCTGAGATTTCCTATTTTACAAGTAAAAAGTGTCCTTTTTCAGAAGTTTTGAGGAGGGTTAGTCAGGAAACGGGGGAGCAGAACACAGAAGGTGGTTGCATTGTGTGTCTTGGGGGGTTGGTTTTTTCCCAAATGGGAAATCAAAACAATTTAAGTGGTTTTGGTCTGTGCTGAGTTTTAGATCAACGCAGTTTGAGTCCATGAATACGGAGAATGCTTCCCAAGATAAAATATGCAGGAGCTGTTACCCTGTGCCTGTTTCACTAAGAAGTCCTTTCTCATTTGTTCAAAGTAGAAATTCAAATAGCAAGGAACCAAAGTGTGTACTTTTTGGAAATGTCCTACGGCCACTGTTGTTTCACATGTGGAGAATGCCTACTGTACAGCAGGTATTTATTGAGGTAGCTGCAGCATCTGATAGTCAGGCAACACGTGCACATTTCAGTAAATTCATGGCGTTGAAAGAAAACTGCAGTTTTGTGAAGACAGTGCACTGCTCTTCCACATATCATTGTACAGCATCTAAGGCTGCCTGGCTGCTGCTTTGAAGATACTGGGAGTTTCAAAAGTCATGATAAGAAGTGTCTTTTTTGGCAAAACTACAGAGACATTTTTGATCTTGTTTGAAATGCTTAGTGTATACTGATATTTTTATTCTAGATTGTTTCAATTTTCAAATTAATAAAGAGGAAAGTATATAATAACGAAACACTTCAGCAAAGCTGTCAAGTGTGTAAGTTAAAAAAAAAGCAGAATAACCTTTAGCCAAGTATCCAGCTGGCATAGGTAGGACAAGGGGGAGGGGCTTTAATCAGGAAGAGGAGAGATTTAATTTAGACATTAAGCAGAAGTTCTTCCCTGTGAGGGTGCTGAGACGCTGGCACAGGGTGCCCAGAGAAGCTGTGGCTGCCCCATCCCTGGCAGTGTTCAAGGCCAGGTTGGACACAGGGGCTTGGAGCAACCTGCTCTAGTGGAAGGTGTCCCTGCCTGTGGCAAGAGGTTGGAACCAGGTGAGCTTTATGTTCCTTTCCAACCCAAACCAGTCTGTGATTATATGATTTATGAATCCTCATGTGTTGATTCTGTGAAAATGCAAACTGTGAAGATAGCTGAAATACATGTTTTTAAGTAATGCTGCTTGGTTTGCTTTTCTCTGAAGCAGGTTTCAAACACTAAAATTAATTTGATTTAAAAATGAAATGCTTCAGTTGAGAAGCGTAGTAGTATGTATGGTGTGTCCAGGTGGCTGCCTGAGGCAAGTGATTGTTGAAGTGTTGTGGGTAGTGAGAGATCTGCATGAGCAAAACCACAGATCACTCAGTTCTGGCTGAAAGTGTGAGTAGTCCTTTCAGCTGTAACATTCTGTCATTAATACTTCACAACATGAGTAAGACATTCGAGGACAAGAAGTGGCAGTGCAGATGTGTTGTATTAGCTTTTGGTCACAGTTCAGTGAGACCAATGTATATAGCCTGGTCCTTGGCGATACTTGTTCTGTATCACGAAACTATGAAATCTGACTAGATTCAGTGCAGCAGCCAGCCTCATCACTTGTAGTCTGTCACAGGGACTTGGACGTGGGAAATCCAGACTGATGCCAATTAGCACTTCTTGTCAGGATACGTATGTACTCCATACCTGTGTGACTCTAGCAGCAGTAGTATGACTTTTAATTGAGCCTGACACTCTTTTACAGAGTGGAAAATCCAATTTTTTTAGGACAGTAACTTACTGATGCCAGGTTCAAAACTTTTGTCTTAGTGACCTTTGAGAACAATATGTCATTTAAAATTATGTAACTCCCTTCCCTTTTTTTAACCACTCTTGGGTCTTTTTGTTGTTTTCTTTCTAGACTGGAACAAACGGATTGAATACAAGCCTGGTTCTGGCAGCAAACCTTTGTTTCCCAGCATTCATCTAGAAACCTGTGATGGACCAGTGTCCTCAATACACACCACCATTGAATTGCAGACTAACTACATTGGAAAGGGCTGTGACCGTGAGACGTACTCAGAAAAATCACTGCAGAAACTGTGTGGTATGGACATGGCTTTCAGTTGCTATAAAAATAATGTTTTGGCAGATAAATAGGTATGTTATAAATAAGCCAGTAACCTGTAAGTGTGCAGTATGTGGATTTAGCTCAGCTGTTCATTTTGGATTGTAGCAACAAAAATGAAGTGGGGAAATTACAACTGATGCTCCATTCTTTTCCATTTGTTTTAACTCTTTTTCTTGTCTTTTCCCTGCTTTGCTTCAGTCTTTTCTTCTCCTGTTCCTCTTCCCTTCTCTTCCCCCATTTTTCTCTTTCCTCATTCCACCTTTTTGTTACTCTTTTTTTCCCCTTGGCATGTGTAGAGAGATTTCAGGTATAGATTTGTCACCATAGAAAGACCATGGGATTTAATGAAAATTGAATCTCTATCTGTGTTTCAGTCTTCCTGACTCAGCTTTCTGTTCCACTGCTAAGTACTGTTTCAGAGTAAAAACAAACAAGTAGAGGAACATTTGGGGCAGTCATTTAGGCAAAAATACTTAAGAAATGTGAATTTGGGAAAAGAGAAACCCTGGTGGAGAAAGGTTTCCTAATTATTTTCTACCCTTTTCCTGCTTTTTGAAAACTTGGTCTGAAAGATACAAATTAATTTTGAAAGGTAGATTAATTACCGGAGGATGACGATATGATTTTGTGACTTTAGGATCATGTGTACAGCAAAGCAGTGGCCACACGTCAAACCATTCATCTTGTGCCTTTTGAGATCTGCTCTCTCTGCTCTCCTAAAATCCTGTCTTCTTAGAGTCCTCATGTGAAGCCCTGATGGTTTGGAACATTGATTCTCATCTCCTCCAAAATGTCTCTTTACCTTGGTTCTGTCTGAGCTACAGTAGCAAATCTTTTTTTTTTCCCTTTAAATGCATGGATTTTTGTTTGGGGTGCTTTCGTGGGTGCTTTCGTGTACAGTTTGCATTTGCTTTGATAACCACACTACCATGGTGCAGATACGTTAAGACAGAATGTTGTAAATGAACATTTTCAGCCAATGTTACTAAATAGTTAAAAACAGAGAGCCAATTCCCAGCAAAAAAAAGTTTGCAGTTGTTATTGTCAATTACCTGTGGAGACCAGGAAGGTGAGGTAAAGGTGAGTGGGAGCAGTAGCGTTCTAATAGAATCGGAGTATTTTCAACTTTAAAATTGCTTAGTTAAGATTACAGAGGCAATTGTCATTTTAATCCTTTATCTTTTTATCCAACTGTCTGAGATCCTAGAAAAGCAGGAGAAAGTCAGCCACCTTCCAACAGTATTCGTCTTTATCATGTCAAGGCTGGCGATTGATTTCATAAAATATTAGCATTTCAGTAAGTATGTTACAGCCCAAGTCAGGTTGGTTTTGCCTCCTCTAAGGACCTGTATTGGCAATAAAAAGAACATTGCTTTGTGCCTGTTACAGACTTGAACTGCCAATGGCACAATCATTCAGAGCAGATCTATGTGCAACTACGTACGAGATCTTAACCACCAAATGATTACATTGACATGAAACTCTAATAAGGATATCTGACAATATTATCATTTTAAGTGTAGGTACATTAGTTGAGGAAGACTGTGCAAAGCCTAAGGGCTTCAGTTTGCACTGTTGCTTGACTACCTTACCTGCTGACACTTGAGCAATAAAAAAGACTATTTCAAGTCATTCTCTTTTTCTCCTGTAACTAGATTTTTCCCAATACTAGCCCAGTCTTAATTCATTGTCTGCACCGTGTGTAGGCCTAAGCTGGTGAAAAGCAGTATGATCAAAAAATTTCAGCAGGTCTGCCAGTGCCATTGTGGAAGTTGTGTGCTGCCTTTAAGCAGATGGACAGATGTACTATCTAACATTACGGCTGAACTTCCAGTTTTTACTAGCACTTGAGAGAACAGACAGAATGTAAAAAGAATATTTAAATGGAGGGGAATTACCACTGCTGAAGCATATTTCTTTGTCCTTGGTTTTCATTTCTTCACAGAGAGGAACAGGTAGGGTAGAAGCTTGTAATAGGACTTCGATAAAAATGTTGTAAATGACAATGAACTTTACATCAGACTTGCATTTGCACTGCCTTACCCTTGGTATTTAGTATTTATTGCCATCCTTAATGTAGAGGGGACTCTTAGGAAAGCAGGTTAAATTATTTCTGGAAATCAGTTTTCTCCCAGAAATTACCTTATTGTATCTAATGGTTGAATAAATAAATTCTTTGAAAAGGAAGGAAAAACTGGGGAGCTTTTTTTTCCTACCAGTAAAGCTGCAATTGCAGAGAGTGCAGAACTAAGGGATCACAGATGAATATTCATCTATGCCATATAAAATAAGATTGTCTCTCTGTAAATAAGGACCCAGTGTATAAATCCTGTGCTCATTTCTTCATTTATCTGTTAGAGATGTAGATAACTCAGATGCCAAGGACAGTGCATTAAAATTCGTTTTTTATATGCTGATAGTGGACAAGAAACTGAAATGTGGAAACACTGAGTATCAGATTAAGGGCCATGCTTCAGATAAGAGGATAGTTCTGGCTTCTCTACCCAGGGTTGTGTAGCTTTGTAGGATGCTCAGACAAAATTCTTGATCTGATTGAGAAGTACTAATTTGGGCTTGGTTTTATTTGGATGGTTAGCTTACAGCTGAGCCAGCAGCTTGGTCCAGTTCAGCAAGCAGCATCAGTATGTACTTATCCTGACACAGAGTTTGTAGCACAAACATGAAGGGTGGAGAGGAGAGCTTGGGATGCTGTTTGGATTTATTAGGATTGAAACAGTGTGATTTCTTCCAGCTAAATCTCTCAAGCACATAATCCAGTGGTTATTCTCAGGGCAGGATAAATGCATACTAACAGGATGAAGTTCCAAAGTAACCCATAAATCTCAAAACAAGTCTGGGCAGGTAAAGTAGAGCCTGTTGAGCTTGGTACTCAATAGCCAAATGCTTTTACACAAGCCTGACATTAGGTTGAGAACATAAGGTAGTTGAGCATCTTGTTGAGTCAGAGTTTAACAAGCAATATGAGACTTCCATTTTGGAGTTTTCCCACAGGCTTATTCTAGTGGGAAAAAAATATCTTTCCAAATTTTTACAGGCAGAGCAGATAAAGGGAGGATGAAGCTTCTTCATTGAGCCCATAATTTTCCTAATATAACCCATGTGCCCATTTAAAGCATATATCCTTTGCTACACACCATGGTGCAAGCAATTTCTGTTCCTTGTAAGTTTAAAAAATGGCCATTAAAATTAACATAAAATGAAGTAATTTTATTTTTTAGTGGCTTGAGTTAAAAAAAAAAAATAAAATACGAAGTTTATCCTAAATGGAGCTGTCTGGATAAACTGAGTTTGATGTATTCCTGTTCATAACATCTGTGTATTAAGCAACACAGTGTGGTGTATTCTCCAGAATTACGACTTATATAATAATTATACTTTGTGCTCAGATTCTCAACATACAGGTGTTAGGCATGCTATTACTATCCCTTCAAAATAACCTCATTTTACAGTAATAAATTCTGGAGAATTGTCTATAGAAATTAAGTTACTGAATGATCGGGATGTTTCCATATCATTACTATAATACTTCTTAAAAAATCCATAGGATACAATTCCACACATTCTTGGCTTAGAATTCTACACACCTGCAGAGCGTTGGGATCTTGTTTCTCTCCTTGGATGCTGAAGGAGGGTGAGATACCTTACTAGTTCTCCATATTGTCAATTGACAAAGCATCAACAAGAATACAAGGGGGGTTTGGTGCTTTGGGAAGCAACTTTCTGCTAAATGCTGTCTTTCACCAGCTAAGTAAAGGCACTGGGTAGCTCATTAAGTGTTTTTAAAAGTGTCTGACGATGGTAAAGCTGTAAGAAAACACGGAGCTGTAAAGAATTGTGCTGTTCTGTCAGAGCTTGGCACCACAGTGTTTTCCATTTCTGTTTGTTGAGGTTTTTTCCCCCAAATAATTCTAACAAAAAAATACCATGTAGCTGGAGACCACTTTGTTAATGGTTTACTTCTGGGATGCAAGGGGCCTAATCTGGATTTTGAGTACCACTTAAAAGTCTTACGTCTATCATTAGACAAGGACACATGAAGTTACTACCCTCATGTATTTGCCAGAAGCCAGCATTTTAAGTGGTATTACCTGTTTGAAGGTGAATGCTCAGTATGTATTGATATCCATACCACCATTATTGTGAATATCCTTGGCTCTCTACTGGACATCAGGTGACTTGTGCTACATTTATCCCCACTGTACTGTATTTTGCAACACATCTTCCCCACAGACCACGCATCTCCATCCTGTCAGAGAGGGAAGATGTAAAGCTTCCCAGCTGGATATAGAGAATTTAGCTTTAGCCTTAGCAGTTCTTGAAATAACTGAAGAAATGTCATTAATGAATTTTAGAAAAGTAATGAGAAGTTTCAAGAAAGAAAATGTTAAAATATCTTGTATAGTTTTCTGTGCAATACATTTAATCCCAAGAACTCTTACTGGCTTACTGTGGTTGGTATTGTACTATGTATATGTGAGGGATTTAACAGTGAAGCCAGTAGGACCAGTCGAGCAGTAAAAATAATCTGAAGAGTGTGAATCAGAACCGCAGCCAGTACTAAATTAATTTTCACTGCTTTTTGATGAGTCTCTCATCATGTTATTCATTATATATCATTTGCAGGAGCTTCCTCAGGTGCCATTGACCTATTACCATCTCCCAGTGCAACAAGTAACTGGACAGCTGGGCTTCTCGTGGATAATAATGACATGATTTTTAAATTTGATGGAAAGCAAGGAGCCAAAATCCCAGATGGAATAGTCCCGAAGAATTTAACTGATCAATTCACCATCACTCTGTGGATGAAACATGGACCTAGTCCAGGACTAAGAGCTGAGAAGGAGACTATTCTCTGCAACTCTGACAAGACAGGTGAGTCGGTGTATTGAATTAATGTTAGGCAAAGGGCATAACAAAGTTTGTAAAGTGTTACCAAATTAAATTTCATTTAAAACATAAATTTATTTGTAATTTTATAATTTATTCATATTTTCATAAATTTCATTTAATTTGGTCTGAAAAAAGTTACTGTAATCAGGTGGTGCCACTGTAAGCATTGCTAACTTGATAGCTTATTGAGGGGACTGATGTCTACCTAAGTTTCAAGCGCTGGTTCTCAGGTAATCACTGTGAACACATTTGTAGATTTGATAGGATAAAATAATGAGGCTTATTTTTTTTATTATTCAGATGGGGAAAACCAGTTCTAATTCTGCATTAAAACTTGTTAGATTAAATAATGATTTGGATTTTATTTGTTAGTTTGGACACAATGCTGCCCTAAACAAAACTAATACAGTGTAATCAAGGAAGATGCTTACCATATGTGGCTTCCCTGAGAATGATCCATGATATTGAGAAAAGTCAAGTCTTTGAGGGTTTTTTGTTTGGTAGGGGTTTCTCTTTCAGGAAGGTATTGCTTTCAGACACATTCACCTAAATGAAAGTGTTGGTGGTAATTCAGATCACCAGCTGACCGCAGTCTTACGTTTCAGAGATGAACCGGCATCACTATGCCCTGTACGTGCACAACTGCCGATTGGTGTTTCTGTTGCGCAAAGACTTTGATCAGGCTGACACCTTTCGTCCCGCAGAGTTCCACTGGAAACTGGATCAGGTACCTGTGGTTTTTCTCTTACCTGTAACCCATCCTTCTCTTCACCCCCTTCAGAAATCAGAGAGCACAACACAAATCCCAGTATAACTGCTTGGGGAAATTGGAAGTCTGGTGCAGTTACGTGGCAACTTGTAACTGTTGTGACTCTAATTGGGATCCACATAAAAAGAGATAAATGAGAACTTGCTTGAGTCATTTTATACAGCAGGTTTTTTTAATGGAGTAATTTCAGAAAGTAAGTAGAAGTTTATATCCTTTGGCAATAGACAGAAACACGACATTGCATATAGTTCCCTAAAAGTTCTTCGTTTATCATTAAAAAATCTACTTTATCAGCACAATGGAAGAGATGGAAACCTTTTCAATAAAGAGGATGCTGACACACACAAAGGCATTTGTAATATATTGTAAATCTAATATGCAGACTTTTACTTTCATGTGCTGTGCTGTATGTAATTTCTTCCTATTATAAAGAGTATATCTCAAGGAAATTATTATTAAAAAGATAAGAGTTGCCTTTCATACATTTATTAATTCTAAGCTGGATAAGGATCATTTGGATGAAAGAAGACAGACTTCAGCAAAGTAGTATTTTCTCAAAGTAAGTTTCTTCATGTCTTTGAGTCCACCCTATAATACTGAAAATGCAGCTATAGGAATGGTTACTTTGCTAATTCACCTCCAAAATGGATATAAAAAGATAATCTTTGTCATGATTATCAGATGAATGTGGTAAGAAATTGTGTTATGATCATAGCACTTGCTTTTAATTTCCACTAACCACTCTGCAGTCAGTTTCTGCTGTACTTGATATGAAGTTTGTGGTGTCTAGAAAAGGGTTAATTTACATTAAATCCTATTGAAGATAATATCACCTCAGTTAATGCTGTTCTGAGTGCTGAAGATGGGTTTGTATTTCTTACCTCTATAATAAGCATATAAATCAGTGATAATACAAATTTTATGTAAACTGTTTTGACTTGGAAAGTGGAATGCAATCAACTTCTATATCCTTGCAGTGAGAAAGGACCAACGTCCTCCCCATAAATGAAATTTACGTGTAACTTAGCCCTGAAAAAATACTGGGAAACATACAGTCCAAGATAATTTTCCATTGACAGGGGATATATTTGATTGTGTGAAAGAAATTTTTCATGTCTGCTGCCATCTACAATTACTTTATATTTTCTCTAATTTCTTCATGTTATTTTCAGTCTTGCAAATAAATAAGACAGGAAAAAATATTTTTTCTTTCTTATAAAAAAAAAAAAGCCGGTGCTCCTGAACTATTGTTTTTTCGTATCGAGCAGATTTGTGATTAGCCTTGCACTGGGATTTGATTTGCATCCATGTTATTGGTCAGCAACATACACTCTTTATATTTCTGCTTTGACAGTGTTATTCCCTTGCAGAAGTGCTGCTCATCTCAGAAAGCTACTTCTGCGTGGTCTGTTGATTTGGGAAATGTGTATGTATTGTGTATGAAAGTGCATTGTTCCAAAACAACATGCTAAGAGTGTGTGTATCTAACTAGTTAAGTACAAGTGCTGGTTTTTTCTCTGACAAGGGGTAAAGAGTATCTTGTACAAGTCTACAGATTCTGTCTGAAATTATAAAATCTAGGAGAGTTTCACCAGCGGCTGCTTCCCGCATCTTCAGCTGACATTTAAGTAGAATCCCAAATACCTGTTGACAGGAACTCATTATTCATGGTGTAAATCCTAGAGAAAGACAAAGATTTCAGCTAGGGATGGCTGAAAAAGTCCTTGGAGATATTTTAAGACTGAATTGATTTTACTCTGATTTATGCTTCTGGAGAGAAGTTATTTTGTCAAAGCCATCTCAGCAAAAGCATATACTGAAGGCTGTCCAAAGTAGTGCTTGACACAATTAACAGTTTTCATTTCTGTTGTTTGGGTCTAAACCATATATTTCATTGTCTGCAATTAATTATTTGCGTAACCTAAAATATGCTCCCAAATCATAGCACTTCAGAAAAGTTGAATTGCAGGTGGGCACTGAAAGGAGAACTTTCCTAAGTACTGCTGAAAACTCCTACATGATGGAAACTAGAGATAGGAAAGATGTTTTAGGTCATATCATTAATTTCCCTTCATTCAGACATTGTCAGTTGATTTTCAAAGTACATTTTCTACTGCTCTTTCTAGATGAAAAAGAATGTAAGATTAAAGTATAAGAAGTTTTATTGTGTGACCAGACTTCCATGATGATTAATTTAATGGTCATGCTGATACTGTTACAAGTTTTGTCATGAAGGGACCTGGTAAAGATGACTTCCTTACTTCTCCAATGCTCTGTCTGGCCTATATGATAGGGTAAGTTAAAAGAAAGTGGAAACAAAACATATGTGAAGAATGGGCTGGTAAGAAACCTGCAAAACTACAAACTCCTCTGGATCTCGGTATGAAAAGAAGCTGTACCTAGATTTTTCAACACCAGATGACGTGCTGTAGATGCATGATTGGTTTTAAGAAAATGATCAGGCTCCTCTTGCACACAGGAAATAACTGCATGTGGCATGGGTCTGGTAGGGGCCTGAGCTTTCTGAGCTCCATACGGTGCAAAAGCACCCTTGGACACTTGGGAGCTGGTGAACTTCTTAACATACGTCTGTGATCACGTTTCCCTTCAGCCGCTGGTCCTATGTCCAGCCTTCCTAAATTCCTTGATGCAAGTATACCAGGACTGCAACTGAGGTCATTTTATTACGAGATGATGTATATGAGAAATGAGTGGGAAAATGTTCAATAATTTTAGCAAGGGCAGAACTTCACCCTAGAGATGTAAAATAGGCATTGTGCAGGAAGAACCTCTTTGGATCCTCATTTCTGCTGTAAGTTCTTGTGTGTTCCCCATTTCTGGTTAATACAGTGAGAACTGCCTCGTCAATTTCAGTCCATTTTAACTGTTGTTTTCTATAGCCCACACAGAACCAAATCAGAGTAATAGTATGAATATGAATCAATGCATTCCAGCCTTTGGTGACAGTGGAAAACATAACATTTAATAGGACAATACACCGTGTATTTCACACTCGGTTCATCATGGGTATCACATTTCTCATACTAATACTGAGGATAGTCAAGCCAAGAGGTATTTTTCTTTCCCCTAAATCAACAGAACAGGAACACTTTTTTGAGTGGGAGAACGGATCTTAGCCAGGGATGAGCATTTTTTCTTTAACATACTTGTTTTTATTCACAGAGGGAAATTTTCTGTTTCATACCCGTGTTATCATCTGAAAATAGTCTTCCAGTCCACAGGCAAAATTGGTACGGATCCCATTAAAAAACAGGGAATGTATCGCATCATTCTAAGTCAGCAAAAAATAGATAACCATGCAGAAAGTTATTGTTTCTTTCCTAAGATGAGATAAATTGCTTTGAATAAACCAAAACAAGCCTGCAGTGTTTTTCATTGTGGAAAAGCCCCAAACAATTACTTTCATAATAGGAACTAGAGAAAGAGGTTTAGGTAAATCTTGAGTATGAGGCATCCAATCTCTGAGTGTGCACATGGATGTAGAAGGATCAAGACAAGGCCCTCCATTTGCATTTAACCACTTCAGTGACCACGCACAATAGGTGTGCCTGCAGAAAGCAGTCTTGTGCAGTCAATCCCTTCATTCCCATTCACTTTTTAAAATAAGCTACTGTGCATGATAGATCAGGAACTGACTTTTGGAGAAATGTATGTTATATGGTAAGAGGGCACAATGAAAGGGATTAGGTATCTGGAGCTTTTCTTAGTTAAATTAGCCTTTTCCATTAAATACCAGTGTATGAATGAAAGCTGTTCATATGTGTGGGATTTTTAGACATTGGTTGGTTGTGTGAATCTAGTTTCGACAAGACAGATACTCGCATTATGAAAGCCTTAGGTGGCCTCCTTCTTGAGAGGCTCGGAGGGGAAGAAGATTAGTGAGTATTTATGGAAAGTATGTAGTATTCTCAGGGTTAAGGGTACATGGAGGACACGGGGTGGTGCAAGCTTCCATCATCTCTGTGCACTGAATTTCACCTCTAGATAAAGACCTCAGGCTTGTCAGTGCCATACTTTGCAACAGGATGTGCTATTGAAAGTTAACGTTTTCTTTTCTGATGATGGAGTTCAGTTCATTTTTACTTGAAGCTCAAAAGAGTTTCTTATACTCTTATTTTACACATTGGTACGCAGACCTCTAGTGCTTTATGCACACATCTTTAGTAACATTACAGAAAGCAGTAAGTTAGGTGTATTCCTACAGAGCCAGGAAGAGATAAATGATAAATGAATCATGCTAATCCTGCAACAGATGAAATAATTCCAGGATTTAAAAAGTCTTTGCAGCATTCACAGCACCTCACATGTCTTGCATTATAGCCCTGTCTATTTTGACACAGTTTATTTACCGGTTTCCGTCCTTAAGTGCTATTATGACAGATTTTTATTCAACATCTTGGTTCAAAACAACTTTGCTAGCACAAGGATAAGTCAGCAGCGTTGATAAATTCTTTGAGATTCCATTGAAAGAAGCTTTAATACATATTTTTAATGCAACTGCAGTATTACTGCTAATTACAAAATCTTGACAAACAAATCACAGTGGCTTTATGATACAGAAAATTCCTTTGGGACAGCTCTGAAGCATTCCCTATAAATTGACCTGGTTTTGTGCATTCCTGATTCCTGCAGTCCAGCACAATGTGAAACACAGCGACTGCTCTGTGCTGCTGTAGAACTGTGACCATGAAATAAGGAGAAGTATTATGCTCTTAAAGCATACTGTGGGAAGTCCCCTAAATCAATTTAATTTCATATGTACATATAAATATATATATATATCTTGATACAAAGTTATTAATATACCTAAACAAGCTGGATTAAAGTGTCTGTTAACTTGCTTTGTTTCTACTGTACTCTGGGAACTCTAGAAACATAAAGCCTGGAACAGAAATTCCCTATCAAACTATGCAGTTTTGCGTAGTGTATTGTCACAT